TAGTTTTCATGTAGATCCATGGGCTTAATTATTACAAAAGAGAAAAGAAGCTTCATTTCATTTTTTTTCCTTTTTAATGATATGAAGCTTCATTTCTTGTTAGATTTCTCATTCCACAAATAAATACACTACCTTTCACAACTTTTCTAATTAGGAATATAATATTTTTCATTATCAATTAAGACTATCATCTTTCAAAAGTTTATAATCAAATGATATTTATAACTTTACAAAAAAACAATTAAGTGGATCGATGATCATACTCTATTAAAAATTTTTAAAAAGTAATAACCCTAATTAGTGCCATCACAAATATCATATTTCTATTAAAAATTTTAAAGAAGTGATGATTTTAATTATTAAAGAAGAAAATTCACATCATTTATTAAAATTTTGTTGAAAAATTAAGTCCTTATTTTTATGTTTGTAATTCTTGATTTTATATTAAAGTTGTGCATAAGTTATCATTCTTTGTTACATGTTTTTTTAGGTTAAAATCTCATTTTGATCCTTGAATTATTGTACGGACCCTCGATTTGGTTCTTGAACTAAAAAAATTTCTTATTTGGTCCCTATTGTTTACCATTTTTACCTTGATTTGGTCATTCCGTTAAAATCTCACCGTTATCTCACGACAATTTAATGACATGTCAAACATTTAAGAGACAGTTGTATAAATGAATAAATAATAACATGGCAATGTGACATGTCATGTTTTTGTCTAACCCAACAAAAGTGGGGTCCACCAAAATTACGAATTTGCCATCTTCCTCCAGCAAACAAACCCAGCACCTAGAACCCAACAGTGCCCTTTTTTTTTTCTTCCTCTTTCTTGCCTTGCTTTCTTCATCATCATCAAATAACTAAACTCACAAAAAAAATATATATATATTTTTTATCCCAGGATTCTAGGAACCCAGGCGTGCGGGGTTCCGTTGAACCCAGGGTTGGGTTCCATGGATCCCAGTTGGTTCAAAGAACCCAAGCGTGGGTTCGAGGGAACCCAACGCTTGGGTTCGAGGGAACCCAACGCTTGGGTTCGAGGGAACCCAACGCTTGGGTTCTATCTAACCTGGGTTTGGAACCCAGTTGGTTCGTCGTTGGGTTCTTTGGAACCAGCTGTGGTTCCATGGAACCTAGCGCTTGGGTTCCAAAGCACTCAGCGGTGAACTAGCTGGGTACGAAGAACTCAGGCGTGGGTTCGAGAGAACCCAGCGCCTGGGTTCCTTGGAATCAACCCAGGCAAGCGTGCTGGGTTCGGTTCCTTGCGAACCCAGCACCTGAGTGGGTTCGAAGGAACCCAGGTCTGTTGGGTTTTGAGGGGAAAGAAAAGGAAAAAGGGGAAGGAGAAAGAGAAAGGGAAAGGAGAAGGAGAAAAAAAAAAAATTTAAGTTCTATTTTTCATAATATTTTTTTATATTATTTTTTCTACATCATCACTTTTTGGCTATATTATCTTCCACGTGGATTATTATATGACATGTCATTTGGTAACCGTGAAGTAATATGCAACGTCACACAATTTTTAACAGAAGGATCAGATCGAGGTAAAAATGGTAAACAGTAGGGACTAAATAAGAGATTTTTTTAGTTTAGGATTAAAAAGGGGTTTTAACCTTTTTTTTATTCCGTATTAAGAAATAAATTTAACGGCATTACTATTACATTTTAGGACATTCATCGATGGACAAAATGATGGACAAAATGACGGAAAAATTTGTTGAGAAAGTTGAGAATCTTGTAGACCGCCACGGAAAACTTGAGGAAGATCTGAATGAGTTGAGAAGCCAATGGCAGGTTCTAAAGAGGAGAAAAATAGACGTTAATTCAAGAATAGAGGTAGAGGTTCACTCGGGCCACGTGGTGAAAGAAGAAGTAAAGGGGTGGCTTGAAGATGTTCAAAAGATCGAACAAGACGTGCAAGATGTTGAAGAAAGACGAGGGACGGTTCCATACTACAAACGTGCCAATCTTGATAAACTTGTGCGTGAAAAAATTGATGTGGTGAAGAGGATTCAAGAAAGGGGCATTTTCGAAGGAGGCCTTGGGATTGCGAGAGCTCCAGCTTGTGGAACTAGAATTCGAACAGAAAATTTAGAGGGTGAAATTTCTACTAAAGATGAAATTTGGGAGCACTTGATGGGCAATGAAGTTGGAATGATTGGGGTTTGTGGTATTGGTGGAGTTGGTAAGACTACAATCATGAAGCATGTTAACAATGATTTGTTGATGGGGAGCAGATTTCAGAAAGTGATTTGGGTTACTGTATCATATCCTCTCAAAGTTTTAGAACTACAAAAGAAGATTGCTCTTGCCTTGGACAGAACACTTCCAGAAGATAAAGAAGAGATGATGCGGGCTGCAGCACTAATGGAGATACTAGGAGAAGTGAGATTTGTGCTAATATTAGATGATGTATGGGACAATTTTTCTTTGAGTGATGTTGGAATCCCAAAACCAACCCCCCAGAATGGGTGTAAAGTAGTTATCACCAGTAGAACAGCTCAAGTATGCAATTATTTGGGTTGTAAGATTGTTAAAGTGCAGCCTCTTTCAGCAGAGGAGTCTTTAAATTTATTCCTCAGCAGGGTTGGACACGATGTTTTACAAGTTACAGGATTGGAAGAAATTTTGAAGCTTATTGTGGAGGAGTGCGCCGGTTTACCACTAGCAATTGTTGTAATAGCAGGGGGCATGAAGGGAGAAGGTGAACCTAATATTGTAGAGTGGAGAAATGCACTAAATGATTTACGCCAACGCGTAAAAAGTGTGAATGATATGGAGGAAGAGATATTTAGGCGGTTAAGATTTAGTTATGACCGTCTAAGAAATTTAGAAATCAAAAAATGTTTTCTATATTGCTCCTTATTTCGAGAAGATTATGAGTTTGTTAGAGAAAGGTTGATAGAAGGCTGTATTGATGAAGGATTGATTCATGAGTCAGAAAAAAGACAAGATGCTTATGATAGGTCTGATGTTTTTTTAAATAGGCTTGAAAAGAACTGCTTGTTAGAGAAAACTGTTGATTACTTTTCTGATGAAGTTTTTAAGATGCATGATGTGGTGAGAGACATGGCTATCAAAAGCATTGGTCCTGAAGTTGGATATATGATCAAAGCTGGTAAGAAATTGACAGAGGTACCAAATGAGCATGAGTGGACAATTGATCTTAACAAAGTGTCTCTAATGGACAATTACATTTCAGAAATTCCTGTTGGTTTGACTCCAAAGTGTCCGACCTTGTCAACTTTGATATTATCAAACAATCCTTTGACAGAGATTCCAGAATCCTTTTTTGAAAATATGAGTGGACTCAAGGTTCTTGATCTTTCTGGAACCAATATTGAAGCTTTACCTAGTTCCATCTCTAAGTTGGAGTATCTTTCTGCACTGCGGTTAAGGGGGTGTGAGAGGTTAAATTGCTTGCCTTCCTTAGAAAAGCTTGTGGCATTGAAGAAGTTGGATCTAAGATGCGCAGCAATTGAGGTGGTCCCTCAAGGCATGGAGATGTTGGTAAGACTTGAATATCTTGATTTATTTTCTGAATATCTGGAAGAGATTCCAACAGAAATATTGTCTAAATTATCTAGTCTCCAATGTTTGGTAGCAAGAAATGATTGGGACTCAGCTAGTGTAAAGATAAATTTAGAAGAGGTTGCTAGATTGAGAAAGTTGGAGATTTTAGAATGTAATTTGGGTAATATGCAAGACTTCAATTATCTTCTGAGGGAGTTTAAAAATTTTCAGAGTTTTATTGCTTACCAGCTTCTAGTGGGAACAAAAATGGATCATCGTTTTGATATTAACAATCGTAACTATAAATGCAGACTTATAATTAGTGAGTGTGACATTGGAGAAGAATGTATAGTGCTTCCAGATAAACTTCGGCATTTGCGGATCCATAAATGTAAAAACATCAGAAGCAGCTTAAACAAAACAGCTTTGTTGGAGAATGCAACCGAGTTGGGTGTTTGTATTATTAGTGATTGTGAAGAGACAGAGTACGTGGTTGAGTTGGATTCATCCTTCTCCTCATCGTGTAAACCAGTACTTGATAAGCTTGAACATCTGTGTCTTTGGGATTTGCCTAGGTTGTGGGCACTTGTGAGAGTGGAAGGAGTAGCAACACCACCACATGTCTTTTCCAATCTTAAGACACTTCACATAAAAGGATGTTCAAGAATGAGGAAGTTGCTTCCACCTAAGCCGCTGCAGGCCTTCCAAAACATAGAGGTGATTATGGTTGCTGATTGCGAACAAATGGAGGAGATAATAGCCTCATCAGATTTAAATGCATCATCATCGGAGAAATTCACTTTCACTTTTCCCAAGTTAAGGAGATTGTGGTTGTCAAGGTTGCCCCAATTGAAGAGCATTTGCAGTGCCAAAGGAGTTATGGTTTGCGATTCTATTGAAGAAATTTCGATAGCGAATTGTCTTGAGTTAAAAAGGATCCCTGTGCAACTTCCCCTGCTTGATGATGGCCAACTATCTCCTCCTCCTCGTCTCAGTTTAATCTCCATTAATAAAGAATCAAAAGAATGGTGGGAATCAGTGGTGGAGTGGGATCATCCTAATGCTAAGAACATACTCCAACCTTTTGTGAAATATTGATGGTAAGGTGTTGATTGGTTTATTCTAATTTGAATTTGATAGTTTAATTGCGCAAAATTTCTATCATCGCATCTACAAGGGTAGTCCTTGAGAAATATTCAATTTTGTTCAGATAACAGTAGAGCAGCAGGTGTGTGTAAATAATAAGTCACGTGCTACCACAATAACATGTGGCAGTAAAAGCCTTTCCTCTACAATAGCCAACAAGAAAGTCAATGTAGGAGAGAAGGGATTCTAGGGGAGACGAGATTGAGACGCATCCACCCTCTGCTCTCATGTCCCATAAGCTCCAATTATGTAAGTTGTGATTTCGCTATTCTTACTTTGATTTTTTGAATTTTTGGTGTTTTTGAGTACAAGATTTCGCTATTTTATTCTCTTCCTTGGGTTTTGGGTATGTGTAGCGGAAATTAAGCCCCTTTTGATCACCGAGTAAACACAATGAGAATTGTGCTTATCATCATAAAAATTTGGGAAAATATGATCAACTAATAAAATCGTGGTTGGAACATTAATATTTCCATTTTTTCTTCTTTTCATTTTTTTTTTTTATGTTATACTGAGATTTCTCAACATCTTGCAAACTAGTTTGGTACTATGGAATCAAACTTCATCACTCACTGTGTCTTCAATTCCTATAATTTTTCTTAAGATCAATTTGTTGGTCGCTTCTTCTCTCTAGATTCTGACATATTTTAAAGCTTTAATATTGCATGTAGGATCTTTTATCAAGTGAAGGCAATTTCTCTTGGAGCCAGCAAAGCAAAAGAAATATGAGACTCAGCCAGACCCAATACTCCTTCATTTGACTGACAATAATCCTTTTTTTTTTTTTTTCAATTTATGTGTCTTTTATTTATTGGATGGACTTGGTTTAGTGTGCTGGTTTGATTTGGTAATTTGTTTTGTGTTGTAATTTTTCAAGCATGTTGTGTTATGGGATTTCTACTCTGTTTGATTGATAGAATGCGGTTCTTTATCAATTTCAAATGTAATTTTTGTAATACCCTTTGTGTTTGATTTATTGTTATAATTGCAAATTCCCTTTGCTTGGCTGAGTCGAGCACTGGATAACACTCTGGCAGCCCTTCATCGCCAGCCTTCTTCCACCTTTGCAGGTGTTTTTTTACTACCTAAACAACCGTATTTATTTTATTTCATTTTCTTTATATCATTTGCAATCTTAGATTTCTTTTTAGTTGCTGAAGGAAATAATTTTTATAGTTTGAAGTGAACAGGAAAGGGAGATCCATCTAGAAATCACCACAGCAAAAAAGGCGTGGCATGGTGGGAAATTACAACTTTAAAATAATTGCTCAGCTCTCATAAATTCCAAGTAGTAAGTAAATTTTGGCTTATTAACAGCATTTCATTCTCTTCTTTTTCTTGTGCTTCTTCCTTAAGTTTTGTCGTTGGTCATTTGACGGTAATTGTATTTAGTAGGCCAAAATTTCCAAAAACTAAGTTAAAAAGAATTGACGGTAATTGTATTTTTTTCTTAAAAATAGATTGGTTAATATCTGTGGTGGAAAAAACATTTTTCTTTTATTATTCCATTTCACTTTCTTCTTTTTCTTTTCTTTTTTTTTCTCTTTATTGCGGGTTTTATTTCATTTTTGTGATCCATACATCTTTATAAATTGGTTTCTAGGTATGGCTTAAATTAAGCACCTTTTGAAAGATGAGTCAATTAGCTCAAACTCAAGGTCTCCTTTTTCTCTGGGTTTTAAGGGGATTGATGGGGGTTCTTTTGTCATGATTTATCTTGTTATTATTTTGGAGATTTAAATGAAATCACAAACTGGATTTTCAGGATCCTAAGCTTTGTGATACAAGTGATATTGGGCGGTGAGATGGAATCAATTCTCAACATCTTGCGAACCAGGTACTATGGAACCAAATCTCTTGTACTTTTAGTATCATTCACCTGCAATAATGATGTAATATTCTTTTAAATTACCCTTCAAAATTAATACCATTCACTTGCAATAGTAGAGTAACATGCTTTTCAGGTACTCAAGCTAATAGTTTTGTAAAACAGAGTTTTTGATAAAAATTAATATCATTTTCCTGTCTCTTACAAATGGCTTGAGTCTCGAGGATTGAGTTCCCTATGGAGTGCTAAATTTGTCCAGGCTGAATGTCTTCTTTATGCAACCTTCATATACTAATAATTGCTTAAGGGTAATAGGCATGCTTCCTGTGATTACTTTGGTTCGAATTTTTTTGAGATCAGAACATTTAGCTCTTTAGTATTTCTTTTGTCAGGTTCTTAGTTCTTTGGGATTCCAAACTTATTTTTCAAGCGCAATCTTAATGGAACAATCAAGATTGTGAAAAGATGGTACTTGTAGAGGCCTACATGATCAGGTTACCAAGTAATTGATGTAATCTGCAAATTGAAAGTGAAACCACAAAGAAAGCTGACAGTAAAGTAGTGACCAACATATACCATCAACAGGTTAATGATAGTTCTTGTTTAGCATCTGCTTTAGAAACTTGACTCCGGTATTCTGAGCTTTGGAAATGTGTTTCAGGGGGTATATATAATACATCAATTGAGTACTACTGGGCTTCCTTCATTATGGAGTCTAATTCATGCCATGCAACAGATCATACTTTTCTGAGACAGCTGATGAAACCTAGATGCGATAGCCAAACACGGCAAAAGCTGGGAAAAAGTTGGTATGTTGGTGTTTGAGACCTATGCCTAGTGGATGTTCAAGCGAACTATGTAAGTTTTTGGTTGTTGATCTAAGGCTTTCTAGTCCATCCAAATTCTTCTGGATTTTTTGCTGCAAGAGCAAGTTTTTGATTTAAGTATACATTTTGGAATCCAATAGGATTGGCATTAAGGAACCTGAGCATCAATTGAGTACTACTAGGCTCCCTTCGTAGTGGAGTCTAATTCATGCCATGCAACATATCATACTGTCCAGAGATGATTGGTGAACCTTGCTGCCACAGCCAAACGTGGCAGGAGCTAGGAAGAAGTTGATGTGTTGGTGTTTGGAGCTATGTCTGTTGGATGTACAAGCGTAACAAGCTTCAGATCAATGTTACGTAAGTTTCCAGTTTTTGATCTAAGGCTTTCTATTCCATCCAAATTCTTCTGGTTTTTGTGCTCCAAGAGCAAGTTTTTTATTTGAAGATACATTTTGGAATCCAACAAGTTAATCTAAGTTTTAACTTTCTTCCTAAGTTTTATTTTTTTATTTTTTATTTTCCTCTAGTTATTGAACTCCGGGGATTGTTTAAGAATATAATGTGACAACTAATTGGATTGAGAAACCTGGGCAAATTGGTTAGAATCCAACATTAGTCCTCTAGATCCCCAGCACACACTCACACTTGTATTTTGAAATTGAGCTGTGATTATGGTTTTGTGATTTATACTGTTCAAATTATCCTAGGAATTGAAGAGCAAAGAGAGGAAGATTGGAGATGCCAATTGAACTTAAACCAGCAGTAGGAGGTATATCAAGGAGATTGAACTTGTGACCAATGTAGACTATTACAACTTGCACTCGTCTGTTTCTTTTGGGATAATGCAGCACGGGAAGTGAAGCAGAAAGAAAAGGCTTTAGCAAGAAGGTAACTTACATTTGATGTTGAATTTTGTTGCTTACTCATCACATTTCACATCTATGTAGTGGCCTGTTTCTATTTCCTTTGATGGTCTATTAGCCTTTCATTCATGCCATGACAATCTAAAACTTGACTTATGAACTTTTGTTTTGCTGATCAGCCACCATTTGCCCCAGTCATTCATAATGATATTGCCAATGATATACTGATTTATCTAACAATAGTTGATGTCTATTGCCTTTTCATCATTCTTAGGTATGCAAGCTTTTCATTTTTACCTTTAGATATGGTTATTTTAGTCTTTCATTTTGGTAGATTATATTTATTGACTGAGTACATGTAGTTGTATACATGATGTTACGGTTGTTAGTATCTGCACTGATATATGTTATGAAAGTTGAATGTTTTTTTTTTTTCCCTTACGCAGGATTAGTTCTATACTTTTCTGAAATGTCATAACTGCTACTGCAGCATACATCAAATGGGAAGGATGGAAATCATACGGTGATGAGAACTGCTTCAGTGATACCTATCCAATCCAAGAAGCATCATACTGGGGAATTGGATCTAGTCTTGCCATCATGGAGATAGTTTGCAACATCTTACGAGAACTAAAGATCAACCATTACAGTTTTTAACATTACACAATTGTCAGAAGATCAGAGAGATGCTCATACATTTGTTATGGTGAACAGAAGGGCAAACTCTTGACAGCGAACAAAGATCTTTCCTTGAAAATTTTGCTGATTGTGTTCGTTGGGTGCTTGCCTGCCGGCACTATCTAGTACAGAGGAGGAGATTTTGTATGCATACTTGCTGAACAGTTGTGAAAATCTTTGTGATCTGAACCTCCTTTGTGGAAATTAAGAATGTAAAATCAAGGTATTGATAAAACAAAGAATGAGTCTTCGTTTCCAAATCAGTTTGTTGCTAAGCAGTTTCCAAATTAGTTTCCAAATTAGTTTCCAAATCAACTATCGATCTTCTGATGAGGAAAAAAAAAATATCAGGCTTGCAACCACCCAAATCTGCTGCTCTTTATAATTTATTTGGCCTAGCTAATTTGCTTAATTAGTGTCCAACTATCTTCAATTTTTACTTCTAAGCCCAAAGGCATATTATTTTCAATCTCAATTTTTTCTAATTAGGTCTCTCTTTAGATTATATATATAGACTCAATGAAAATATCAAAGTTATCTGGAGACATGATAGTAATGCTTTCATCTTTTAAAAAATTTAATATTATTAAATATATATAGATATTATCACAAAAAATATTAAGATTAATAAAAT